TGATACCACTGAATGGTGAAGCAGACTTGCTGGGCGGAACAGCCTATTTCTGCTCCTACGTTTTATGGGCTTGGTGAGTTGCTTTAGTGCGCTGCTGCAACTGTGAACATGTGGCTGAGAGAATGAAATGTTTAAGGTGCATGTGGTGCCAGTGAAGTGGACTGCTTTGTCTTCAATGGTACCAAGTTTCCATTGGGTCTCCAATCAACCATGCAATGGAGAGTACTCTATCACAGGCTCATCGTCAATCCTCAGTCCAGGTGGCCAACACTGCTCATTGAAAAAGCCCAAACTTTGGAAAGATGGGAAGAGCACTTGAACCAGATTCTCAAAATCAGCCTTTATCTTTTAATCAATGATGAAGCAATTAACCTTTCACAGGGTACCATCAACAGCCCTCGAATCCTGTTAGATACAACAAATGCAATCAAATTCCTTCAGCAAACCTCTGGAAGCTGTTGCTATCTTAGATGAAGTCTACAAGGCTAGTGGTTAATGCTTGATCAAGAATCTCGACTTCTTCGGTCTACATGTGAAGCAAGGAACCATCGTGCAAAAATACAACGAGGCCTTCACTGTGCACCTGTACAATGGCAAGGAACAAAATAATTCTGGAAACTGTCACAGAAATCTTCTCCATCATCTGGAAAATCGCCAGAATTCACTGAACCACTTAGTGCAAGGTCTCGACTAACATCTGCTGCCAGAGAGTAGCAATGTCTAAAAAAAGCTGGAGGAACCGCTGAGCTGATATTTGCAAACAGACAGCTCCTTGAGTAGTACCAGAAAACAGAACAAGAACAATAACACCACATTTGTTGACCTGACTAAGGCCTCTGACACAGGGCCTTTGAAAGATCATGAAATCTGGCTACAATGATACACTCACTTCCATGGTTTGGCAGTTCTATGACAGCATGGTCACGTCATGGATGATAAAATTTTCTGACCAATTCCCAGCCACTAATGCAAGTGATAGAAATGCAGGTCCCTTTAAAGCTCAAAAAGGAAAGCTCCAGCGCTTTTGTGAGCAGGTGTTGCTCAAGTGATTTTGTATTTAAGAGGTAAATTCATCCCCAGGGGTGTGTTGACTTCTGGGAGGGAAAAGATGAACTGATGTTTGCGCCAAAAAGCTGAACTGCAGACTCAATAAAATCTTTGTAAATCTCAATCTTTTCCTGCCAAATTCAATTTATAGATATGGGTATTTGAAACATGATAGCAGAGGGTTAATCTCAATCTCTTTGGTGGGCAGATGAAAGCAGAAGGTAATCCCTGTTTCTTTGGCAGCCCCTTTGTGGTTTTTAGAAGTGAAATGCTCAAGTCATACTGCAAGATCACGAATTATGATTATTCACTGATGTTTTTAGACTAGAGCCATACACGCAACGGAAGGTGGGGGAGATGTGGACTCAGGCCACTTCTCTAACCAAGATACAGAAAAATAGAACTTTATCCTTACCCAGCGTATCTGACAAAGTATTTTTGGAACTGGATGAAATAGACTTCGATACTGAAGAAGAACTGGAGATTCTAAGGAGTATTGGGACATGGAGAATGAACTGGTATTTGTATTTGGTAATACAATAAACATGTACTTGACAGGATTCTGACATTATCGTATCCTGCTGAGGAAATCTGGGGCTTCTCAGAGAATTCAAGAAGTGTTCTTGATATTTGCAGAGAGAAGGCTGGCTGATGATAGAAGGATCAAATGGAAATTGGACAAACATTAAAATTTCTTTATAGAACAGATCTGATGGATTAAACATCAAAGATAGTTGTAAGTGCTCCTTTAGCTAAAGGATTTTAATGAAGTAGTAACCATGAACCCGAAGGTATGGGACAAAGATTAGAATGTTTATGCATTATATTCTATACATATGATGACCAGATTTGGCATATCCACTGTGATAACCATAGGGACAGACTAGTGGACAAAGTCACAAAAGTGTGGGTGAACACAGGCCTTGGGAGATCAGCAAAATACTTAATGGAAAAGCGAGACTCAAAACAGTCGCCATAAAGTCAAGCTTATAGAAACGCAGAGATAACAAGGTGTAGAGCTGGATGAACATAGCAGGCCAAGCAGCATCAGAGGAGCAGGTAGGCTGATGTTTCAGGTCTAGACCCTTCTTCAGCATACTGCTGCAGAAAGTCTGTTCAACAATAGTTTTTGTGAAAGAAGCCATGCAATAATTAATAACATGTTGCACAAAATACTGACAGAGCATCCAAATTTTAGATTACCAGCACGGATAGTACATGCACAAAATTCCTTACAAATCATTCAGGATATAGCCCATATTAAATAGTATACAGGCAGAATCCAATATTTACCCTCAATACAGCATGACGATCCTACTGCACAAGGAGGAACAATGATTAGCTTGACTCACTGCATCCATCTAAATAAACAAGCAACACGGCAGCTCAGTGGTTAGCACTGCAGCCTCACAGCGCCAGGGAAGCGGGTTCAATTCCACTCTCGGGCGACTGTCTGGTATGGAGTTTGCACATTCTCCCCGTGTCTGCGTGGGTTTCCTCCGGGTGCTCCGGTTTCCTCCCGCAGTCCAAAGATGTGCAGACTAGGTGGATTGGCCATGCTAAATTGCCCGTTGTATTCAGGGATGTGTAGATTAGGTGGGTTATACAGGGATGGGCCTGGGTGGGATGCTCTGAGGGTTGGTGTGGACTTGTTGGGCTGAAGGGCCTGCTTCCACACTGTAGGGATTCTTAAAAAAACCATTACACTACAGTAGAGAACCGTGCGTTAAAAGCAGAAGCATTAGAAAAAAATAATAGGAGAGCATTGAGACACAGCATCAGACCATCTAGGGGAGATTTCAGATCCGGTAACCTGGTTTCTGACAAGAGAGAAAGACCAAAGAATGGAAAGGGCCAGGAACAGATCTGGGCATGACCCGAACAATTTCATAAGCCAAAACAGAAATCAGACTATAAAGGTGCATTCCATTTGAGTAGTGGGGATGAATTTTGAATTTTCAGCCTCTGAAAATGTTGGAGGTGTTAATGATGAAGTACCACGTACTTCAAATACAAGAGTCGTACGATTTTGATCCAGAGGGGCAGAATGTAAGAACTCAGGAAATACATACATATATGTACTGATCGCGAAAAACGTGAGAAAATAATCTTAATGTGGGGATCATTTGCCTAGAGCAGTTTACCAGCCTGCGAGGTCAGATGACTAGGGATGGCTACGGTAGTGGGGTATGCAGTGCAAACTACAGGAAAGACATAAAACTGGCTAAATGCCCCAAGATGAGGGACAAGAAGTGAAGGCCATGACTGACAACTGGGAGCACTAACCAAGGCTGGAAAACACAGTTTCAGTACTGATTCAGAAGATACATTTAGGAGGAAAAGGTCACGTATAGTAGAGAAGATTTCTAGTTAACCCCTTAGTAGTCGTTGAAAGATCTCAACATGAGAAATAAAAAGGCCAAATACAGACAAGATGAATGGGTACCATGGGTAATGAAGAACCTTCTTGGACAACGGATAAAAGCAAGAAGCCCCATGATTGGGCAATGCTTGTGGTTACTAGCAGAAGGCACGACAGTTGAACTTCTTTTATCAGCCTAAGTGAAGACAGTTAAAGAAGCAGGCAAAATTCAGAGCCTTAATAAAAGAGGTCAACTTGCTTTGTCATACAGGTGGATCTTGTAAGGAAAAGGTCCCAGTAGATGGGGCCTACAAGATCAAAGCGAGGCTCACACTTAAAGGCTTTCAAGTTGGGGATGTTTGGGGAAAGAGAAGTTAGTGTAGACCTGCCTATGGACTGAGAAAGGGTAATTTTAAAAATCTTCTGTTTTGTTAACAATTTTCTTGGAATGTCAATATCACTGTGGCGTTTCTTCAGAGTAAACAGTTCAAGAGAGGTATTCTCACAGCCCCCAAAGCAAGCTTTATTTACAAGTTCTGATATTTGACTTCGAGTCCTGGGATGGGTTCGTCCAGCACTGTTGCACTGCGTACAACCAAATAAAATGCAGTGCAGCCTCCCTCAAAATCAAGCAGATGCAAATATAAAATGGTTAGAAAGGAAATCCTAGGCCAGATACTTATCACATCTCAAATGACTGGCATAGCCTGGCCTACTTTCAGCAGAACTTTCCAGGCATAGATTGACCCTAGCAACCAAATAATCATGAAGAAAGGGTCAGCTTTGAAACCATCTGCAGTGAAACTGGTATTTTCATTGAGACAGTCCTACTTTATAAAATTTCCATCCTTTCCAAGCTATTTCTCTTGTGCTATACCCAACTAATTCCTTTGATCCTCTCAGATCATCCCCACCACCCATATCATACCTCCCATGCATCCAACATCTCTCAGTCTCCTATTGCTCCAGCCAACGTAAAGTTCAGTTGTTGTGCTTCCCTTACCTTCTGCTGTTTTCTTCTTCTAATCTCGTACTCCATTGTCAGCAACCATCAGCAGCTACATGTGCTCCTGTCAAAATCATATCAGAGCACCTATGCTTCAAAGCAGCGATTGCTAACTAAAGTTCCAAGGAAAATAAGGCCATATATTTTCAGCACCTACAGACATTATTTCCAGCCCTGTTCCTTTCACTTACTGATTTTGCATTTAAAATGTTGCAAGCTGGGAGCAGGGAGGTGAAAAGCAAGGAATAGGGCAAAGAGAGGGGAAAGTCACATCAGGCTGTCTCTGGAGGTTCATGGCTATAGGAGTTTTGATAGCAACTGGGGAGCCAACTTTGAGGCTTACCCAGCCTTTCAGGTGCAGAACATTCAGCCAGCCAGAAAGGGAGACCATAACATTAAATCAAAACAAATAGAAAGTAACAATGGATCGGTTTCACCACACTTGAATTTAGCAATTCAAATCACCCCAATATGAAAAGCTCGTTTACATTCCACATCAAAACACTACAATAAAATATTAATGATAGGTGATCAGAGCTGACTAAATCCATCAATTAACCACCTCCCAGACTGGACTGCACTTACCAGACTAGCAAGTGCCAAAAGTGTTGTCTGTACTTGAGTCATGTTCCCATTCTCAAAAAGATCATTTGCTTCAAAAATGTCATGTGGCTTCATCCCATAAGACTGAATGGCTTTAATAAAGTTACCAATATTCTCCAGCTGTAGAAAAACAAACCAAATTGTTAAATGACATACAATATATAGCTCACTCAGAAAAGATGTACAGTTTTATAATATCTCATTCTTTAAAATTCTCATCCTTCTGAATGCGCTATTTTCAGCGGTGTGATTCATTACATGCCACTACAGTTCAGTTGGTGCCTCTTCACAAGTATCTGAAGGTTATTCAATCAATCAAAGATCACCACACAAATTCCAATCATGGAATAACATGAAGTCCAGTTCTGTCAATAGGAATCAAAGATCCTGGAGAAGGTCTGGAGGAGATTTACCAGTTACAGAGATGCAGGATTATAGCTACAAAATTTAGGGTGGAAAACCTAGTTATATTCTCCTTGAAACAAAGGAAATGGAGGGGGATTTGACAGATATGCCTAAGATAACAGGCTTATATATAATAGATAAGGAAAAAGCTGAGAGTTCAAAATCTAGAGGGCACAGATTTAAATGTTTTGGGAAGACATACAGAGAAGTACAAAGAACCTTTAAATTAAACACAGTGAAAGGCAAAGACCTTGAATGTGCTCCCCACAAGGATGGTGGAAGCAGTGATCAATGATTTCAAAATAATACTGGATGGGCATGGCTGAAATAAAGTTGCAGGGCGAGGTGACCCTTTTAAATCTTTCCCCATGACCTTAAAATATCCCTCTAGTTTTGGACTCCCCTCACCTAGCGAAAAGACCTCACCCTATCTATGCCCGTTATGATTTTATAAACCTCTAGAAAAGGTCTCCCCTCAACCTCTTCTAATCCAGTGAAAGAAGTCCCACCCTATCCAGCCTCTCATTTTAACTCAAACCTTCCAGTCCCAGCAATATCCTGGTAAATCTTTTCTGAACCCTCTTCAATTTAATAATATCCTTCCCATAACAGGGCAACCAGAACTGGACACAGTACTCCAAAAGTTGACATGTTGTTCCATGGAATATAGCAAACTTATGACAGGCTGAATGGCTTCCTTCTGTGCTATAAATAACAACTGCAAGCCTTTGCTCACATTTCATTCCAAAACATCTGCTTGCAGGATAGCAAACTATACTGCTAACCAGAGTAGGGTTACAAGTGAACAGTAATGCAATTTCAGAAATTGGTAATCATTTTATAACCTGATAGGTCTGCACTGGCATTCAGAACAAAACAAATTAAAACTAGGGTATAAACATGGCAATTAAACAAAATTGCTTCCTATGCCTACTGTTGGCATTAGCCCAGCAGCTGTGTGGAAATTTTCAAATACTAATGCCAGAGAAGTAATTTGAAAATGCATCAACTAAGCGAGTTAAGTGCTCATTTGAGATAAGGCTCTCTGGGTGTCCAGTACCCTGTCCAATTGGCAGTCCAATAGGAGTATCAGCAAGTTATTGAAACATATCCCACAGAACATGTCATCAAAACTAATCATGTGAGAACTGTGGGTTAGAAGTTTGCCACGGTCATCACTAGGTATCTTAAGATGAGCCCAAATCATTCGCACGTTATCTTTGTTTGTAAAGCTGAGCAATGAAAATACCTGTAGAAATCAGACTCCCAACAGTCAGGACATGATTTGCAGTTAAACAGTTTAATTTCTTACCTGGTGCCAGTTTAATTTGGATTCATTTACTTTCTTGATTGAATTGGGTTGCAACTTGTTCATGAGCCTGAAAAATTGATTGAGGATTTAGTACCAGTTTCTGCCCATCCGAACAATTCAATTATGTGTGAATGCCAAAAATTCTAATCAAAAGACATGACAGACCTTTCCAGATTCTCTGATCTGCCATTTGCCATACTGTCAATTGACTGCATTCCTTTGCTCACTTAACATATTCCAAAATACTTGCCTTCAGGACAGTATGTTATATTGCTAACCAGCAGTTTTATAGAAAACCAATGATCAATTCAAACATTGTTAGCATAGGGCTACAAGTGAATGGTCATCCTACTTTAGGAATTAGTAACCATTTGTTTACAAACTCAAAACTGGCCTAGTATCCAGATATCCAGCAGCATACTTAACCATGCTGATTACCAACCCTATTGTTGCAGATTTTCTGGCTTTGTTTCAACAAGAATGCCAGGAAGTTGAAAATTAGCCAATTCAGAGGGAGCAATACCTCAAAAGCTATTGGAGCTTGGAGAAGGGTCTAGAACTCAACATTTAGAGGTAGAATGTCCAACTTGTCCAATTTATCCATTTGCATTTAGGCTGGTTTTACAAAAAGTGAATGAGATAAATTGTAGAAAGAAAACTCCACAAAGAAATAAAAAGACTAATTGTCAAAACATTAATTAACTTGTTCAGACAATTCCCTGGAATTGGGCATTTCTCAGCCATAGTAAAAAGTAAATTTTGACTTTTCACACGCAAAAAAAACAAACAATCCAGATGCATGTAGTTTCAATCAAGAGAAGAGAACTGAAGAGCTTTATCAATAAAATGGAATGCTGACATGGCTCCTTTAAGCAATATGGACATGTCAAAAGCCAGTTTCATTGACAATAAAACTGTTAGAGCCATCAGTTATGGATATTCTGGCAAAGAGTCATTTGAAATGGTAGCTTGAGGTATTATTGGCATGAAGTCCTCATTGGAATAAACTAGGTTTGAAGAATTTATCAGTTTTCCATCAGAACTTCCGACTAAGCTGCAGTGAGCAACTCAAACCAAATTCAAATAGCACACCAGATATGCAGATTCACTTTGCCCATTTCACAAATGTAAATATCACAGTCTAGTGCCAGCGTGGGGAACTCTTGCCTACTTTAAAATAGCCCTAATTAAAGAAAACAAGCATATTCCAAATGTTGAAAGAAAGTTACAGGTCATTACTGCCAAAAACACATGTCCAGTGGGGAGATGGAGACTGTTTAGATATAATGTACTTAAAGTTCAATTTGATGTAGGTTTAAGAAAATCAGAAGGGAGTTTCATGGAGTCTGACCAGGTGTGGAGGAGTAAAATTTAAGACAGTTAGGACCAAAGTCTAAGAATATCCAGACTATAAAACCAGGCTATTTAGATTTTGGTTAAGGGATAAATATTAGCCAGGAGATCAGAAGAACCCCATGCTCTTCTTTGAATTGTGCCATGGGGTCGTTTGATTCATTTGAAATGTTTGAATGGGAAAAGATTTTGCATATTTAAACAACCTTCAATTATGGGATACCATTTTGTCAATGCATGAATGATTCACAAAATGGACTATTTGCTTTGTCAATTGAAGATTTCTCTTCTACCATTAATAATCTCAATATTGAAATCACTAAAAATTAACACGCATATGTTTTGCTAGGCAGGGTCACTAGATACCGCTCCTTCCAATCAAGTTATTTCGAGCTGGCTGATAAACCCACATTCTCAAATCTTGACCCTCATTTCATCGTGTAGTGTATCCGTTAGAACACTACATCATTGTACTCTAATCACCAGCAGTGAAAAAATTACAGGTAGTAATGTTTTAGGTGTACCTTGTGTATTTTTAGTCAATAACTTAAATGGCTGTGAGAATAACAGAAATTTGAGCAAACTTGTAGAAACAAATGCTGCCTACGCTGTTCCTATTTCAGAATTCCAGCATTTGTAATCTGCCCCTTTTACTTTTAAGTAACTGGAGTTCTGGATGCCTTTTATTCATCACATACAAAGTTGTGACGTACCTGTTCTCTTTTGCCTCTTTTACATGGCTTAATTGGAGAGCTATTATTTGAACAAACTAGTGCATATAGGCAGCTAGTGGTAGTAATCTTGCTTTCAGTTACGCTGATTTGGGTAGAAGTCCCACCTGAAAGACTTAGGCACAATGGCAGCAGTCACTCTAATGTTGTAATGAAGAAGTGCTGCACTGTTTAAGGTATGATCTTTTGGATATGACATGAAAAATGTACCTCATGCCTGGCCTCTTAAATCAATGTAAACGACCCCATGGCACAATTCAAAGAAGAGCATGGGGTTCTTCTGATCTCCTGGCTAATATTTATCCCTCAACCAAAATCTAAATAGATAGCCTGGTTTTGATATTCTGGAGCTGGTTGTGCAATCTTGTTGCACTCGCAATAATTGCCATACTTTTCTGTATTACAAATGGCGACTACACTTATTAGGTCCGTTAAGTGCGAGGAGGCATCCTGGAGGTAGTAAAAGGAACTATTTAGAATACAAGTCATTCTCTCAATTGTTTGCGTTCAGTCCCAATTGCCTGAAGTGGTCAAAATGTTTATGGACATTGCTTATAGTAGAGCACGAGCAAGCACCTCAGTGAAAGATAGTTAGCCTCCAGATTCAAAGAATGCAACTTGCCCATACCACAATATTAATGGATTCTACTATTCATAATTGTATTGCTTCCGATAAATAAGACATCACCAAATCTTTGACCTAGTAATTCCACTGTTGGTAAACGGTCCCATCGCAAGAGCTTCCAATATATCACTCATATATCCCTTTCTTGCTCTATTGTTTAGATTTCCATTATGTTGAATGAGAACTTTGGAGATTAATGAAAGAAACTTCATATTAGTTTATCTCATTCACATCCATCCTGCCCTGTCTTTTTTTTTTTAAAAAGAAGTTTGTTCATTACACTCTAAAGCTCCATGCAATCTTTTCACGGAGGTCTCTTCCCACTGCCTGATTTCAATAATAACTTTCACTACAAAGTTATTTTCAGCTTTTATCTAAATTATCCAGGGTCCCTTTCTCCACAGTTACCAATTTTCCGGCCATCACCAATTCCTCCAACCTAGGCTGCCTGTACAACTCAGCCGTCATAAAACAATGTTACTTTGTTTCTTTTAAATTGTGAGATTCATCTTGGATCACTTCCCTATCACTCTCACCATCCATAATTACCTTGTCCACCATCAACAACACTATTCTCACTTTTTATTTCCACGAAAAGTTCAACACATAATTGAAATGCCAACTTCTCTGGCCATCCACACATCACTACTTGTGTTTACTGGTTCAGCTAAGTACACTTCACTGTGACACAAGGGCTCTCGAATGCACAGAATGGTAAACAATAAAGAAAAGTAACATTGTTTTATGAGGCAGAATTGTGCAGGCAGCCTTCCAGGTCTACAGACCCAAAATGTTAACTCTGATTTTTCTTCACAGATGCTGCCAGACCTGCTGAGCTTTTCCAGCAACTTCCGTTTTTGTTATTGTTGAATGGTAAACAAGGATGGTTGATATGTAAATACAGGAATGTATTGTGTAAACTAAAGCTTTATTTCAGAGAACAGTGATCACAAAAATTACTTGAATTGGCTCCAAAGCATTTTAAGATATTTTGAGGTGGTACAAGGTGCCTTAAAATTGCTATTCAAGCGAGCAAAATAAGAAATTATAAAACAAAGAATGCTGGAAATACTGAACATGCTCTGGCAGCAATCGGTGGAGAGACTAAGAACAGGAGTCAGTGATTCGGATCAACAACCTTTCATCAGAACTCAGATTTTCAGCAACAGTATATGTTGTGTTACATAGGTTAAGAGCAAAATTAAGTCAGAACTAGAAACATTGTACTTCTGAGGCTAGCACAAGGGAAATTGCAGTACAGATCCAGTTTCTAAATACAACATTCATTACAGCATAATCCACACTAATGAGAACAAGACTTAGCAAAGCAGTCAGGTACTCACATGCAAAGAATTACACCATCCTTCAGGCTGAGTTGGAAGTTCTCACCCAAGCGTCTGCCTGTTACTTCTTCAATCCAGACTCTCAATTCTTCCTCTTTCTGAGAGTCATATTTCTGAAGAATCTACAAAAAAAAATCTATGATAAAACGAAGAACATGGAATGCTGGAAATCAAACTAAAACAGAACTTGCTAGAGAAACTCAACAAGTCAGGCAGCATCTGTGAAGAGAAAACAGAATTAATGTTTCGAGTGTCATAACCCTTCTTCAGAACGCCATGATTAGCACATTACCACAAAAACCAAGTGTACATCAAAAATAATGTGTCATTGTGTGCCATGAAATTTGAGACTTGTACAAGCCTAACTAGGTTTTCTGTATTTGGTTAGGATTTGAGAAAAAATGCTCTACAAGGATCGAGTTTTAAATCAGATTAGGTTTTGCATAAAGAATCTTAGTTACAAACTGATGCAATGAATGACAGCAGACAGTTTCCTTTTAGAAGTTCAAGTTCACGGCTAGGAATGAGTAAAATTGAGAATTTCAGCTATCTTCTTGTTCTAAAAAGTGACAGCACAAGATCTAAATTGATCTTTGCACTCCACTGTGTACAGGATATAACATGTCCTTTGACAGCACCCTCCACCAAGTGGAGTACAAGAGCAGTAGATGCTTAGGAACACCACTACCTGCAATTTTGCCTCCAGACTTGGAACTACAGGGGATTTTCCTATAATGCGTTTTCCAGCATCGTGAATTGGCTGTAGCGCAACTGACAAATAGGGGAATGCTATTTCTAAATTGCGAACTTGTGTTGGCTATAACGCAATTCAGCATTATTTAAAAATGCAGCTCATTTAAACAGAAGAACGGACTCCATTGCTAAATTGATGGTACAAGTTAAAAAAAAATGAAATATAGTTTAAAATAAACTGAATGTTGTTAAAACATAGGCCTTTGTGTGTAGTTTTTTTGCCTAGATTTTGTTATATATTTAATATATAAGAATTTTTGAACCTGCTCACGTAAATCATTTATACCAAAAGTTTTTTGTGTTACAACCTGCTCTTTTCCAGCACTATTTTGAATACAATGTTACTCAGGTTTACAACGCATTTTAATCCTACAATTAACTTCAATGCCAATAGGCTACATAGGAAAGAAAGATTCCTCTGCTTCACTTATCTGAAAATCTATCCAGAAGTCTGTGCCGATGGAACGTCAGGTCAGATCGGCATTTAAATGGAGGGAATTTTACTAAAAATTGCTGACGTGTCAATTTCAGGGGAGTTTCATGGAGGGTTGCTGGCAGTGAGCTCTATCTCACAATTTTGCATTGCTCACCTCTTTTGCATCATGCTCACACTATCACGCAGCACTGACCAATGCTGGGATTTCCAGTGGCAGAACTTTATTTAAAGCCCAGCTGTCATTTCATTGCAAATACAAGGTCATAGAGTAATACAGCATGAAAACAGGCCCTTCGGACCAAACTGGTCCATTCTGACCATGGTGCCCATTCAGCGAGTTCCAATTGCCTGCATTTGGTCCATATCACTCGAAACCCTTCCCATCCAAATGTTTTTTTAAATGTTGCTATCGTACCTGCCTCAACCATTCTCTCTGGCAGCCCATTCCATATACACGACATTCTGTGTGCGTGTGAAGTTACCCCTCAGGTCCCGAAATCTTCCTCCTCTCACCTTAAACCTATGCCCTATAGTTTTCAATTTCCCATCCCTGGGAAAAATACCAAATGCATTCATCCTATCTATGCCCCTCAAGATTTAATACACCTCAATAAAGGTCAGCCTTCATTCTCCTACGTTCCAAGGAATAAAACCCCATCCTGGCCAACCTCTCCCTATAACCCAGGCCTACTAGTCCTCATAAATCTTCTTTGCACATTTTCCAGTTTCACTATATCTTTCCATAACAGGGTGACCAAAACTGTACACAATACTCAAAGTGCAGCCTCACCAACAACTTATACAACAGTAACATAACATCCCAACTCCTACATTCAATGCCTCAACCGATGAAGGCCAGCATGTTAAATGCCTTCTTCACCACCCGTGACGCCGCTTTCAACGAACTATGTACACGTACTCCGAGGTCGCTCTGTTCCACAACACCTCTCGAGACCTCACTATTTACTGTACAAGTCCTACCTTGGTTTGACTTTCCAATCTGCAACATCTCACACTTATCTGTATTGAATTGCATTTGCCAATTCTTAGCCCACTTCCCCATCTGATCAAGGTCCCTCTGAAACTTTTGATAACCATCTTCGCTATCAATGGCACCTCCTAATTTTGTTTCATTTGCAAACTTAATCATGCCTTGTACATTCACATTCAGATCATTTATGTAAACAAAAGGTCAGATTTGTAAATGTATTGCCTCTTTTCAGTGTCATCTGTCTGATAAACTGTCAGTTCATTTCTGGATAGCGGAATTTCAGGATGTAGCATAACACTAGTGTGCCTAACCACAAGTGTGTGAACTGGTTATAAGTAGTAATCAAGTCATAACAGTGAAGATTAGAAATCGGTAACAAGAGTGGTTTTATTACTCCAAATACTGCACCTTTCATACTTCTGAAATATTGGTACTGTACTGAAATATTGAAGATAGAGGGAACAATTAACTTCAGGTGGCCCAGAATTTCAAAATGGTGACAGACCTCCTCTGCTCTGCCCATTCTTTTACTTTTTCTCTTTGAGTGCTTTTTTTAAAAGAACTTTTAACTTTTTAAACTTGACTGAAGGTCAGCACGAGGAACCACGCCCCTCGTGGACCGGAGGCGAGGCCATGGGCTTTGAAGACCAGTGTGGTCTGGAGCTAGGTGCTGGCACAAACTGGGATGAAAGGATTGTAACTAGGGTGCTATTTTTTCCTCTTTATTCGAATGCTGGACTTTTTTTTAACTTTTTCAATTTTGTACCAAATACTTAAGTATCTATACCTAGCTATCTTGAACCTAAGCAGCAACATTGAAAACTTTTCACTGTGCTCACTCAAGTGCACGTGGTAATGAAGTTAATTCAATTCAATCAATACCAACAGAATCAGGCTGGGAAGTATGATATGACCACTTACTAAACATTCAATACAAAAACAGAGAACAATTTCCTTTCCTAGAAAGGCTGATAGTGTACCAAAAGTGTGAAAAGGTTTTGCGTGTTAATTTTTACCTAGTTAGTCAATTCATTGTTCTCCATCTTCACTTTCTTACAGCTTCACAACTGAACCATCCAATGACTGTTACAAAACAGGTCATGAGAATAACTCAATGTGTCATTAAATGCACTAGTTCACAACTGTTTTGGAGCAACAAGCAGCAAGTTTGTCAATTGCATGGGTTGGGTCCAAAAAATCCGAACAATCTCTCAGCTAAAGAGGTCACAGGAATCTGTCCAAATGGATCAGATTTCATCTGGTAACTGATCAACAGTATATGAGAAAATGATGCAGTGTGTTTTCTAACATCCATTTACAAACATATATAGGAAACATATTCACTTCTTAAATTAGCCTCTGTAGAACATTCTACAGTCTCATTCTCATTTTTACATGTTTATTGCAAAGACAACAACCCATGTTTGGCTAGGCAAAAGGAAACTTTAGCTAATAGCAAGTGATACATTCCTCTGTGTTCACTTAAGCTGTCACTACAGACATATATATTGCTAGTCAATATTATACTGCTTTTTCACAAAAGGTTTACTGTTGAAAAAGATTAAACAGCTGACTTCCAAACCAGACAAATGCTGCTTTGGAAGGAAATAAAAATGATCCCATGAGCCTCATAGAACAGAATGTGCCAATGTTCATTTTTTCAAAGAAGTTGCCAGACAGTATAATTCTTACACATACTTTCTTCATATTTTAACATGGATCAATCCCTTAAAAAAAAAGAAAAATAAACAATGAAACAAAAACAGAAATTGCTGGCGAGACTTAGGACTGGCAGCATCTATGGGGAGCAAGCAGAGTTAACATTTCAAGTCTGTAGTTCTTAAGACGACTCACCCGACTCGAAACATTTAACTCTGTTTTCTCCTCACCAGGTGCTGCCCACACCTGCTGAGTTTCTCCAGCAATTTCGGTTTTTCTTTCAAACCTCAAGTATCCGCAGTTCTTTGATTGATACTAACAATGAGTTATTGAGCAATGGCCACAATCAAGTTACATGACAGGAGTTAAGACTGATCAACTAATTCTTGAACCTGTGATTACCGGACAGACATCCAATGTATTCTAACAATGACATTGTATATAATTATAATGTTAAAACTTTAGGCTTTCTACATTTTGGTGAAACCTTAATACTTTGGACACTTTCAAATATCATTGCCTGCTATGAATTTAAGTATTCTTAGGTAACATGGGCTCACAGATCTGGTTTTACCCCCGAAACTACTCTAACTGCAGTTGATTGCTCCTGATTTTTTATTTTACCATTACAGCAGCTCTTTCCAGGTCTTTTCACTGCTACTGTTTCTTCCCATCAATCACCACCTCGGCTCTCAATCCCGCAATGCTGTTCATATTTCCATTGCAAATGAATCAACCTATCCATCACATTGTCTCTGCTTACTCAGTCTTATATAAATAATCATACTTTTATTGTCTCTTTGAATCACAGACAGGCAAGGACAATCTTATGCCACTTCTTGGTTATTGGTTAGTGCACAGAATACATAGAAAGTAAACACAATCAGTTCTCACTTAATGGCGCCTTGTTACTTCATGCAAGATTTGTTTTCCACTTTCAAAGGCCTGGATTTTCAAATTGCAATTACAGTAAAGCTGTCAGCAGTCACCATTCTTACCCTGAGAAACTAACAGGAGTATCTGCAGCCTACATATAAACAGTTAAAGAGATACACTATGATTCCTTCCTACTGTCTTGAAGTTCCCATTGTTAACTGTATCAATTCTCAAGGATAAATAATAAATGTTGCCCTCATTAGTGCACCCACATCCCACAAGACAATAAAAAAATCTAGATTAAATATTTTGAGGTGAGGGCAATGATTGGATAGTTACTTGAGCTCATTTAAAGAAACACTAAAGATGCTCTTGTGATGCAGCAGTAGCACTCCTACCTGTGGGCC